TTGAACGAAAGCTGGATTTAGGTCGGGGCTGGAACTTCAAACGGGACATTGAAGCAAATCCCTAAAAGAATGGGTTCGTAAAAAGATGTCAAGTCTTGGGGTGTCTTAGTCAAAGTACTGATCTAAACCTAATTGAATATCTCTGATTCAAGTAAAAAAAAAAAACAATGCATGCAAGAAACCCAAGTAAAATTGAGCAATTATGGGAATTTTGGCAAGAAGAATGGTCGAAAATCGGCAATTACTATTGCGAGGGAAATCTCTTAAAGATTATAGAAAAACACTAGTTGACACTGTAACCTCAACTTGACTGAATATGAAATGTAAAGGTTCATTAACTTTTGAACAACTTAATTTTAAATTTTTAATTAATATTTTTATTCCAGCTTGATAAAAGTAATTGAAAGTGGTTGTGATTGATTTAATAATTTTTTTTCTTAATGAATATATAGTTTAATTAAGTTTTGTCGATCATCTAGAAAAAAAAGATAAAAAATTTGCATAACATCTTCGGGGTCTACTTACTTTTCCACGGCACTGTATATTGATGTGTCTGTATCAATCTGGACATTTCTATCTCTCTCTCTCTCTCTCTCTCTCTCTCTCTATATATATATATATATATATATATATATATATATATATATATATATATATTAATATTAATCAAAATTCATCGAGTTCAGATGAATATACTTCTGTTAAACGTATTAATACATTCTTATTGCTCAATGTAGAATCAAATAGTGTTATAAAAATGTATGTATACATAATATATATATATATATATATATATATATATATATATCAATCTATTCATGTATATCTCAGTCTATTGATATTTATCTCACGATAAATTTACCCCTCTGTTTGTCTCTCTCTCCTCCTCTCTCTCTCTATACATACATACATACATATATATATATATATATATATATATATATATATATATATATATATATATATATTTTTATATATATTAAAACACACGCACTTACAGACATACTATCTCTGTCTGTATGTGGGTGTGTGCTTAAATGTACATTTTTTATTTATTCCGACATTATTTACTATTACTGTAAATGTTATTTTTACTGCGTACACGTGTTTCAATTGACATGCCTGATTTTACTTTCTTAAACAATCAAATTGGTTCACTGTTTAAGAAAATAAAAAATGACATGTCAACTGAAACACGTGTATCCTGTAGAAATAGCGTTCCTAGTAGTTATATATATATATATATATATATATATATATATATAGGCAGCATATCTTCATTCAAGCATGTTTGGTTGAATAATCTAGATATATTATGTCTATTTTTATTTTAACTGGATTTTATTTTAATTAGCTCTGTAATAATAAATAAATTCAGCTCTTTTTGTGGTGAGTCCGTTTTAATATTATATATTCCCAGAATGCACTTGGATTATATATCTTTAGTATATATATATATATATATATATATATATATATATATATATATATATATATGTTTTTGTGTGTATTAGTATGTGGTCCTTGCTAAATTAGACAATCGTTATATTCATATTCATATATTTATATTTGATTTCTAACCTGTCGCCGATATTAATTTGTCAAATTTTCTCAATTACAAAGCGGCCCTTTAAGTAAACACAATTTTATTTTCCTTCGTCCCATCTCTCTCCCCCACCTCTTCTCTTTCTTTTTTTTTTCCCCTACCTCCTAACTTCTAATTGTCTATGGTGTGTATATGTCACCACGAAATGTATCTTTATGCATTAGACATCCGTCGACTTTCTTTCTCTCCTCTTTTTAAATCCCCCCCCACATCTCCTAAAATTCTCTCTGTTAAGGTTTCATCTCCCTCCTCCTCATACTTACACTTTCTCTAAATTTTGTTTTGATTTCCGGAGTTGTTTTTTTCTCTTTTCATTTTGAATTTGTAGGTCTGATGATTTGGATCGTAATTACGATTCCAATGGAATAAATTATGACCATTGAATATTAGTGTTTAAGCCTTTTTATTATATCCTTACTCTGTCCTAGACATTGAGTTCTACCTGGATTCTTCCTCTTGGGAATTTTTTTTCTGAAAATATACATGTATGGGTATTTTTTTTTTTTTATATATTTTGCATATGTATGTATATTTTCCACTAATATTATATATATATATATATATATATATATATATATATATATATATATATATATATATATATATATATATATTACTTGTATTCTTGATATAAAGCCTTCGTAATATTCTTCTTTAGTGGTTTCTTATTACAATCATATGACTGAAATATTAAATTCTGGAATTTAGCATTCGCTTTATTTTCCTTTTTTTCATACGGTTCCCGCACGGTCACCGAAGTTAAGCAACGTCGAGACTTGGCAGTACCTAGATGGGTGACCAGTTGTGATTACCAAGTGCTGTAATCTTGAATATGTCGGTACTGTAATGGAAAATGGCTCGTCATTGTTAATTGGAGAGCCAAGTTCCAATTCCATTTGGGTTCGTTATATTCCCTTACGCGTAAATGGCATTGACAAACGTATGAATCCACCTCTTCTCCTCCAGCTATGGGTTAATTATTAATTGTATCAGTAAATCATTATTCTCTAAAAAATCTTACAATCTGAAATTTTTTATGGATTTAAATATTCTGAAAAGACGTAGAAATGAAATTAATCAATCAATGTCTATTTCATTATTATAATCTACTACACTGCCCATGATCCTTTGGGTCACTGACGGTTCAGGTTATAAAACATTAAAGTTGATTTGAACATACCGCTGAAATGAAACTTAATTTTATTATGATACAGTTAAATATTTCAATTCGTTCGTGTCATCATTGGTCTCGTTTGAGAGTTCATGTTCAACGTTATACTGATCCATTACAGCATTTAACTTCCGGAATAGAACATCCGGGTTAAACTTGAACTTTCAATCAGATTAACTTAAAAACATTTGTTTAATATGCCAAAAAATATTTTAAAATCATATTCCCTTGAAAATATATATTTTTTAAATATGCCAAAAATATTTTTTTTTAATATTTAAAATGTTGTCTCTTTAAATATTTGAAATGTTGTTTGCTTAAAGAAAGCTAAAATATAAATAATTACTCTACAAACAACTGGACGAAACAGCAAAACGGGATCTCTTTATGTCTGTCTTTAACTTAAAAATTGTCTGTTTGAAGAAAGTTAAAATGAAAATACTTACTGTATTAACAACTCGTATTTTTAAATCTCATTCACTTAAAATAATTTTAAATCAGATTAACTTTAACATACGTTTTTTAATTATTTAAAATATTGCCGGTTAATGAAAGCTGAAATATAAATACACTACAAACAACTGGACGAAGCAGCAAATCGGGATCTCTTTTTGTCTGTCTTTAACTTAAAAATAGTTTAATTAAAAATATTGTCTGCTTGAAGAAAGTTAAAATAAAAGTACTTACTGAATAAACAACTTGTAAATTATTATGCGCCGGACGGAGAGACGTACCACGCAAGAACGCACGCACACACGCACGCACGCAATCACAGACTTTTAGTATTATATAGACATTATGATGTGGATGTGCGCTTTCGTATAGATAGCGGCCCAGAATGAGAAATTGTTGAACCGAGTTCAAATTCCAGTCTGGTTTGTCACATTCACTTACGCGTAAATATCCTTAAGTTTACTCCCCATATATGGGTTAAATAGCAAGACATAATGGGTCTTATAGCCTTGATTGGCAACCATTTTACTGCAGAAAGAAACGGAAACCTCATGAACTGAAAGAGACATGGCGACTTTCTAAGAATACCTTAGATGTGGCACAAGTCCGAAAGTTTGGGGCACCCAGTGAGGATCGAACTCAATATTCAGTCGCTGTTGGTCTAGCGTAACAAGATTGCTCACCATTACACCACGTCGGTGATCCGAAACGATTTTTTAAGAGTAGCTTAAATGTGACACAAGGCCGAAAGTGAGGAGCGCTCACAAAGAAACGAACTCACCACTCAGTCATAATTGATCTAACGAAACAAGCTCTTACATCTAGTCGAAATGCCTCAAATTAAAGAGACATGATCGCCCGAGCGTGGCTGAATGAAGAGGGTGATTTTATTGGTTTTAATAGTCAAAATAAGGTTGAAACCAGGAAGATTGTATAGCATCAGACTTTTAAGTAATTTAAAAAAAAAATTAAACCGAAAATAAGTATAAAAACTAACAGTAAAAAAAATGTTTTTTTTTTACAATTTTGGTTGTGTACAGACGAACAAATTTTTCCCGTCGTTTAAGGCAAACATCTCCAACAATTTTCTCAATATTCCGCTGATTTTTAAAGGAAACAAGCTTTACTCTGGTGCTATACAATCTTCGTCTTCTCTACTTCACCTCGTTTTGACCTTTTTATGAAGTAATTATACGTAAGTCAATGAGATGTGGGAAAATTAACAAAAATTACGCCTTTCTTCCTCAGACGAAAGATCCTTTAAAAAAAATGTTTTTTTTTTTATTTATTTATTTCGGTTGTAATTAACTATTTAGATTTATTTTGTTTTTGTTTATTTTAGGTTTTTTGGGGTTTTTTTTCACTTTCCTTTTTTGGTTTCCCAGCAAATAAAGAAGGTAAATACACTTGTTGTTTGCCGGCCCCAAATATATATTATCAAGAAAAGAAAAAAAATCCCATGAAATCGAATAAGTAGATATATAAATAAAAAGAATTAGGAGAAAAAAAAAAAAAAAAGAATGTAAAACTGAAATGACTGTTTGGCGTTTGGCCCGGTCGACATTTCTAGTTCGCTAAATCCGGCGGCAAAATGACATATTTGTGGGGCTGTTTCCAGCCATGACATCGGAAAAAGCGGCAATGAAGTCGTGTTCGCCTCGTTTTGGGCTAACACCACCATGGCCGACAAAATGGAATCAGTTAACGTGTCGACATCAGGACAATACTCAGTTCACCCAAGGCTTATGCTGTGTGGCTGTAAGGGTGTGTCTAGAGTCCCAGAGAAGTCAGTGAAAGAGAGAGTGAGAGAGAGAACGAAAAGAGAAAGAGATAGCCAGATTGTGATTGTTTTGTAATAGGAAATGTATTCGCGTGTCTCTCTGAAAATCGATCCTTTCTCAGCGAAACACTCCTTCCCGTTCCATCCAAAGAAGCTACGGAATGAAAACTTCAAAAAACGATAAGGTAACAGAACATATTCCGGTTAGAGAAAGTGATCAAAGAAACAAAGAAAATTAAATTGAAAAAAAAAAAAAAAGAAAGAAAAATGCGGGGTAAAAATAAAAGTTTTATATACACACACACTCTCTCTTTCTCTTTCTCTTACTCTTTCCCTTTCTCTCTCTCTCTCTCTCTCTCTCTCTCTCTCTCTCTCTATATATATATATATATATATATGTGTGTGTGTGTGTGTGTGTGTGTGTGTGTAATAAAAAGGCTTAAACACTAATATTCCATGGTCATAATTTATTCCATTGGAATCTTAAATACGATCCAATTCATCAGACCTACAAATTCAAAAAGAAAACAGAAAAAACAACTCCGGAAATAGAAAATAAAATTTAGAGAGAGTGTAAGTATGAGAGTGTGGGACGAATGTTAGAGATATAGAGAGGGGTCACAGACGAGAGAAGGTGGGGGATTAAAATTTAACAGAGAGAAGTTTTAGAGAGGGGAGTCAAAGACGGTTTAAGTGAGAGAAATATGAATTTTGTCGGATGTCTAATACATTAAAGATGTAACCGGAAAGGATGCATTTTGTGGTGACATACACACACAAGCATACACATACACAAACACACACACACACGCGCGCACACACACACACACACACACATATATATATATATATATATATGTATTACTTGTATTATTTACATTATTCGGTCTGTTATCCTCATTGCTATGTGCCATAAAGTTGTACGGGCCGGCCTTCTTCGAGTGATTAGAATTTGGAACGGAACCATTTATTTCGTCCACCAGAGTAGATTGTTCTACTTCCACGTGCCATGTTTCATTTATTGCCCCCTCAAGTTCCCCACTCCAAATATTGGTTCAGCACGAGATAGATAGATAGATAGATAGTAAGAAACCGAGATAGATAGATAGATAGATAGATAGATAGATATTAAGAAACCAAGATAGATAGATTCATAGATAGGTAGATAGATATTAAGAGACCGATATATATATAGATATAACTAGATACATTTGAAGATACTGAGATAGATAAACAGAGACATGGACATAATGAAATAGATTAAATATGGAGAGACTGAGATAGATAGATAGATAGATAGATAGATAGATAGATAGATAGATATGAACAGAATGATATATATAGAGAGAGAGAGAGAAAAAGAGAAAGAGACAGACAGACAAAGAGAAACATAGATAGATAGATAGATAGATAGATAGATAGATAGATAGATAGATAGATATAAACATAGATAGATATGAACAGCATGTGGTGTTTCGTCATTTTACTTTATCGGCAAGGACAGATTTTTTTTCTGGGAAATTTAACACATTGGAAAACAAAAACACACTTATTTAATTTTTATTTTATTTTATGTAACTACACAACATTTCGATTTTGTCTATCATCACTTGCATTGATTATATATATATATATATATAGTCCTCGGTGTGACGATAAACAACATCCGGTAGCAGGGCATCTCATCGGGAGATTACATGGTTTGAGCAACGTGGAACTACATTTTAACTGCTGTTTGTATGTCCACCCTGATCTGGAATAATTTTCACCAGTTAGGGTCCGAGCTATGGACAAATAGTGTACTCATTAAAAAAAAAAACATTACAGTAAAAATATCAGCAATACATTTTTACAATACTTTTTTATCAAAATCATCATCAATTCAACACTAAAAAAGTATCAAAATTCATTTTTGCAGTAAAATTACCAGCAATATATTTTTTCTAAAAAATTGGCTGAGATACATTTTATCATCTACATCTGTTGTAAGGCGAGAGCCATTGTAGAAAGATTTATTCATACATTTGTATTTCCCCCATTATGGACATTATCATATCCATGATGTAATAACACTGTACTTCACGAACGGAACGGAATAGCTGAAAGGAAAAAGAACAACAATCCTTTTTGTCCTCAGAGCGACAATTATGCCACTAATAACGGATGTTTCATTAAGACGGATCAAAGTCTGCAGTAAATAAATCAGTGTTATTGGTGAAAATTTATTTATTTCTCTATTGGATCATCTTATTTAAGTCATGGCAATTATGTGTGAAAAATAATATCACCCAAATGTCCGCCAAATCTGAAAGAAAAAAAATCATTAGACACTTAAACTTAATTCATATTGAAATCGGTTCAAGTTATTGGAACACCCTTTAGTTTTTTATTCATAATAATAATAGCGTCTCCATTGTCTGCCATTGCCTTCCTCTCTCTATGTATATATGATTCTGTTCATATCTATCTATCTATCTATCTATCTATCTATCTATCTATCTATGTCTTCATATCCATCGATATATACCAGTCTGTTCAAATACATCTATTACAGTTTGTTCAAATCTCTCTCACACTCTTTCTATTTATCACAGTCTATTCATATCTATCTATCTATCTATCTATCTATCTATCTATCTATCTCTCTCTCTGTCTATCTATCACAGTATTCTCATATATATATATATATATATAAAGGGTGTTTCATTAAGACGGATTATATATAAAGATGTTTCATTAAGACGGATCAAAGTCAGTAGTAATTAAATCAATATTATTGGTGAAAATGTATTTATTTCTCTATTGGATCATGTTATTTAAGTCATGGTAATTATGTGTGAAAAATAATATCGCTCAAATGTCCGCTAAGGCTTCAGCGGCACACCTCCACTCGATGGTCAAACTTTTTGATGACGTCTCTGCATATTTGCTCCTAGATCTCACCAATATGCCTTATTACTTTATCTTTCAGCTGTTGAATTGTTGTTAGTTTGCTGGTATAGACCTTACTTTGAGATGACCCCAAAGAAAGAAATCTAAAGGCGTCAAGTCGCACGATCTTGGTGGCCAATTGACTTCACTGTTTCGAGAGATGATGTGACCCGGGAACTTCTCATTCAAATTCTGTCTGTACGTTCATTTTCGTAATAGGCTTCGATAACTTTAACACGTTGTTTGATTGTTAATCTTTCCATGCTTGAAATGGCAAATGTCTTAAGTTATATCTGAAAGAAAAAGAAAAAAAATATTAGACGCTTAAAGTTAATTCACATTTAAAATCGGTCCAAGTTATTGAACACCCTTACTTACACAAAACGTGTCCCTTACTTACACAAATGGAAAAAAAATATATATATATATATATATATATATATATATATATATATATATATATATATATATATATATATGAAGAAACACTACATACTGTTCATATCTATCTATATATCTAACTAGCTAGCAAGCTCAGTTTTTACTGTCTAACAAAAAGACACTCTCGTGTAAGCCTCTCTTTGAATAATAGTAACCATTTTCTTTTCTTTTCTTTTCTTTTTTTTGACTAGGAGTTTGTTTTTGTTTTCTATGTCAACAATGTGTTAAAGTTCTCAGTATAAATCTTTAAAGAAGACAAATTCAATTATAGACTATCGGAAAATTGTACTTAGTCTTTGCCGATAAAGCAAAATGACGAAACGCCACATTCTGTCTATATATATATATATATATATATATATATATATATATATATATATATATATATATATATATATATATATACAGCAAAATAGAGTGTAAGGAGAAAACAAAAAGGAAAGATCTTGCATATAATATGGCGATACTCCTGTGTCTGGAGAAGCCATTGTTGGGATTTCAGATTAAAATAGGCCAGATTAATTTACTATGTCCCAAGCGAAGCGATATCTCATGAACGGGAAACAGAGTCTCGGGTTTTCCCAAATTGAGGACTGCGAGCCGGAGTTTTTTTTTTTTATATCAGGGAACGATATATTCTCAAGTGGGAATGGCACCATGGTCTTGTAAGCTGTAGCATTTGGCAACTGGCTGCCTTTGGCGGGCGCCCGGGCAGGACGAACAAACACGTGTCTTGGCACCAGTAAACTTCCTGACTGTATGGCTACTTTTGTCACAGCATGAAGAGAGGTAACAAAGCGACCGACACCAAAATCAGATCATCGCCTTCTGTGTACACTGTGTGTCTTAAAAGCATGCGTTTACCCTGAAAGAATAAAATTATGTACAAAATATACGCAGTTGAAGGCCTACAACTGTATTAAAAATATTTAGATTTTGGCATTAAATAACACACAGAGACTGATATGTCGCTAAACAAAACCAACCAACCAATCGACCAACCTGTAATAAATTTTAATTTAAAAAAAATCTGTGACAATAAGGAACAACAACAAAATCTATATAGCAGAAATATTATATTATAATAATATAATATAATTTAATAATATAATAATATAATATAATAATTTATAATAATATAACATAATAATAATATAATATAATATAATAATAATACTATAATATAATAATATTATATAAAATAGAATAATATAATATAATATAATATAATAATAATAATATAAAATAGAATAATATAATATACTATAATAATAATATAAAATAATAATAATATAATATAATATAATAATAATATGCTATAATAATAATATAATACAACGTAATAATAGTATAGTAATATAATAATATACTATAATAATATGATATAATAATAATATAATATAATGTAATAATAATATAATAATATAATATAATAATTATTATTTACCCACTGCCCCACGCAGCAAGATGTGGCACAAGGCCGAGTTTAAAGTGGGGTATCCGAGACCGTAGGCTCGGGCAAAAATTCCCTATGGGCCACGTAAAAACGGAGTCAGTTTTCCGAGATGAATATACCACTACTACTACTACTACTAATACTAATACTACTAATACTACTAATAATATAATTAACGACAAGGTGTCAACATTCTTTAAACGTAAGTTCTATGCTAACAGTTTCTTCTCTCTCACTTCTCACTTGGTGAACTTTTTTCCGGCGTCTTGCTTTCTAATCATCTTTGATGTTCGAAATTCTAAATGTAATGTCAACCGTTATCTTCTATTTTCTTAATTCCTATTGATTTAATTTTTTTTTAATACTCACATTCTCTCTCTCCTTCTCTCTCTCTCTCTCTCTCTCTCTTTCTCTCTCTCTCTCTCTTTCTCACTCAGTAACTCCTTACGATTTAGTGGTTGGATTGCCTTGCTTAGAATGAAATGATTTTTAAAAAAACGTTGAATGATATGTAATAAAAAACGCGACCTTATACGCATTATATCCCACTTTGCGCTAGTGAATATCCATTTTACAATGTAAATATTGGAGGGGCTTCAAGGTGCTTTATAAATTGACAATGTGCTTTTTCTTTTCCTTTTTTTAATCATTTCACCCCAAGCAAGGCAATAAAGCCACTAATTAACTGAGTCTTAGAAAGTATGAGAAAAAATTGAAAAATACTCTTTAAGGAGAGAGAACAATAAAAAAACAAGAATTAAAAAGACAGAAGATAAAAATTGAACTTACCTTTCAGTTTTTTAAGATCGATTCAACGAAAAGCTAGAAATCGGAAGAGAATCTCATATGCGAGAAGTGATATTTTGAAACTTGTCCCGGGCGTATGAGCTCGGGTTCCTATCTAAAAAAAAAAGTCCTTGTGTCACATCTTGTCCAAGTGGGGAGGGGAAGGAGTTAATACCGCGAGAAGTGATATAACATACAATTGACGATTGCATCAAGCAATTTCGACTGTAAAATGATGAGATCTCTCCGCAAATCCAGTACGTCGTTTAAATTCATAGAGTTTAGGTACCATTGCGAAAAAATCATTAGAACAATTTAACTTGAAATTATTTATGGAAAAGGAAACAGAGAAAATAGATTACAATAGTGGGAAACTGAGTGAAAGCGAGATGCCAGGTCAGGACCAATAACACCGCAGATACTTCTTTGGATATTATCAAGAATCTATAAATATATATCAGGAGCACCAGACCAGATGTGACAGCAAATATATAAAACTGTTAATGTAAATATACGTGACTTGTTCTCATTCTTTTTGCCGCCTTGTACTTTGGTAAGCTCGACTCAATAAATAATTTACCCTGTGTATATATATAAAAAAAAAACCTTATTAGTCAGTGTGTGTATGTGTCTCCGCTTTTGAGTCCTTGTGCCAGGCTAACCATTACTTATCTGATTTCGGGTTTAAATGCCTACAAGAAGGTTAACATTAACGTGTTGATTTGCATGTTCCACCTCCAAAAAGAGCTGGGCTTACCATGCAAATTAAATTAAACTGAAATTTCTTGTGGAATGAATTTGCATATTTTGCCACGGAATCTTGGACTGGAACTATAGGAACATCAATGAAAAATTCAGCAAGACTTTATTTGGAACCGACTCTTCAGACTACAAGACTATCCTGTCTTTTTCTTTCTGTTTACAACTTGTAATTGAGGTTGGGGAAGGTACAAGAAAAGCAAATGGATTCTGCTTTCAGCCGGTGATTTGTTGTTTTGCGCAAGAAAAGGATATGAATTTTACAGGAATTTTAACTATCCTGTTTGAAATGGAATCCGTTTTATGAGTTTAAAAGAGAATTCTATTCGTTCTTTCTTTCTTATCTCATTTTATTTACTGCTTTTTATTTAGTTATACGTTTGTAATTGTCTTTGATGATGTTTGTTTATTTTTAGGTTTCGCTTTTTTGCATGTATCCTGTTTTCTTTCTTTCTTCTTTTCTTTCTTTTTTCATTCTTTCTTGCTGTCAACCTAAGCTCCCATTCTTTCTTTCTTTCTTTCTTTCTTACTTTCTTTCTTTCTTTCACCCTTAGCTTTCTTTCTTTCTTTCTTTCTTTCTTTCTTTCTTTCTTTCTTTCTTTCTTTCACCCGAAGCTTTCTTTCTTTCTTTCTTTCTTTCTTTCTTTATTTATTTATTTATTTATTTATTTCACCCTTAGCTTTCTTTCTTTCTTTCTTTCTTTCTTTCATTCTTTCTTTCTTTCTTTCTTTCTTTCTTTCTTTCTTTCTTTCTTTCTTTCATTTTTCTTTCTTTCGTTATTACCCTGACCTTAGTTGCTTCTTTCTTTCTTTCATCCTGACCTTACTTTCTTTCTTTCTTGTTATCGCCCTGAGCTTAGTTTCTTTCTTTCTTTCTTTCTTTCTTTCTTTCTTTCTTTCTTTCTTTCAAACCTTACTTTCTTTCTTTCTTGTTATCACCCTGAGCTTAGTTGCTTTTTTCTTTCTCCCTCTTTCTTTCTTTCGTTCTTTCTTTCTTTCTTTTCTTACTTTCTTTTTTTTTATCCTAACCTTACTTTCTTTCTTTCTTGTAAACGCCCTGAGCTTAATTGCTTCTTTCTTTCTTTCTTTCTTTCTTTCTTTCTTTCTTTCTTTCTTT